CTGACCAACCAGACACACTGTCACCTACAGATCTCTACGTGTCAGCACTGTGTTTCAGAGTAATCACATGTCCGGAGCCTCAGCAGCGCAGAGAACAGTAGCGCACATTCGTACCGCAGTAACTGAGGGCGCTCGTGATGGACTGAGTGCTGGGTGTAAATCCTAACTGTTAAACCTGGGGTTGTGGGTTGGAGTTGCCTCTTCAATGTTAGTAAGGCAAGATTGGTGTAGGGTCTTACCAGTCTCTTTGGAGAGAGAAAAGAGATGAGGTAGTGTCCCCTAGGGGCAGAGGCTCCCGGCCAGCACAGAGAGGAAGCCTTTCCCTAGAGCTGTAGGAGCCCTGGTGGCAGAGTGGGGTGTGCATTGGGCTCTAACCACCTTAGGGGAAAGATGAGACTTTCTGGTCCCTTACAGAGTTCCAGTCCGGGCAACCCACAGGGGCAGTTCTGCCCTGTCCTGTGGGATTCATGCCAGTCAGAGTCCACTCCCTGACAATGAGTTCGGGTGGTGTTTTTGGTTTTGTTTGATGAGCGTCCCAAATTGCAAGCAAACGAAGTTGTTTGTGATAGATCCACTCACTTGGGGTGTTCCTGCCCCACAGCCTGAGATACAGTCAGGAGCGTTAGCAGGCCTGCCAGCTCCTGCAGGCATGAGCAGCGGAAAGAGTCCCCGAGTCCCTGCGGAGGGCCGAGATTTGAAGTCTACCTGCTCTGGCTGTGTCAGGGAGACAGTGAGCTTCTTACTGGACTGAGCATTAATTGGTTTTTAAGGGTAGTGAAGCCCCTCATGAAGCCAAGCCATCAGGTGTAACTTGAATAATGGAGAGCCTGTCCATGGTGACAGTCACCGTAAAAGCTGTGTCACTCACAGATCATGATCGCACATGCTAGCTCAGTCCTTTGATGCGCAAGTCCCCGTGAAGGGTGTGAGGAGAGCTGGAACATCTGCAGCGTGGCATCTGACTTTCTTGTGTGGTGTGAGAGGGAAATGTGCATGATTTTCAACTCCCCACAGCCCTCGTGTGTTATGTAATGGGGTAGGATGGCATTCTCTCGGAAACACTGGAAACCCCATGTTGAATCTGAAGTTAAGTGGAAAAGTAAAGTCCAGTGACCTGATTCACTTACATACAATGAAACACAAAGTATGCAAGCTCTTTAATGCTGCCACCAAACCAGTTTACGACTGGTAATAGTGGACCATCAGCATAAGGTGTTTTTTATGGAATTCGGAACAATGAACAACTAGAGCTAACAGACTATGTGATGATTTGTGCTTGTTTTTTCCTTCCATCGCCCTTCTCCTTGCCTCCTACCCCCTGTTGGTCTTCCTGATTTCCTGAGAAGAAAATGCTGAGCCAGACCTGGATGACAATGAGGACGAGGAAGAGCCTGCTGTGGAGATAGAGCCAGAGCCAGAGCCAGAACCTGTGACCCCAGCCCCACCACCCGCCAAGAAGCGGAGAGGACGCCCCCCTGGAAGAACCAACCAGCCCAAACAGACCCAGCGTAAGTGCTTGCCTCCGAGCCGCGGCCTCTCCCAGCACATGGGGGGCCAGGCAGCTTCATGTTCTCTGGGGAGATGGAAACTAAGCCATGAGGACAAGGAAGATCGTGTCGGGAACAAGTTCTCCAAGGCCGTTTTTAGGGATTTTTTAATGGGGAACAGCTGAGGCAGCCTCTAGACGCCTGTTAAATTTTGGAAAGGAAGCGTCTTCGGTTTGACAAGATGGGCCGTGTTCCTGCAAGAGGGGTGTGCAGAACAACCCAAGCCACAGTGAACTGGCAGAATGGATGTGGTAACGCACGCCAGAAAGCCAGGCTTGGAAAGGAGGAGGATTGATGACATTTCTTTGCTGAGATTGTCCTAAGAGACTCGGGCTCTGTGAGGGCGGGCGTCTGGCTGCCAGCCCTCTTGTTCGTTCTCAGTTGCACTTTGCCCCTCACGACGGGCACCCAGATCTCTCTAGACCAGGCGTCTTCAAACTACGGCCCACGGGCCACATGCAGCCCGCTGGGGACATTTATCCGGCCTGCCGGTGTTTTTGCCCCGTTTTGTTTTTTTACTTCAAAATAAGATATGTGCAGTGTGCGTAGGAATTTGTTCGTAGTTTTTTTAAACTATAGTCCGGCCTTCCAGTGGGTCTGAGGGACAGTGAACTGGCCCCGTTTAAAAAGTTTGAGGACCTCTGCTCTAGACCTTCTGAAATTGTCACTGCCCCCTCCCTGCTGTGCCACCCCCATGCCCTAGAGAGGAGCGTGGCTGCAGCCCCTGGGGACCAGCACTCTTACTTGGCCTCTTGCTGGAGTGAGGATGTGGTTCCACAGCCAGGGGGTGTGAGAACCCCAACAGTTCTCAAATGCCAGCTTCTTGCGGAAAGTGGGCGCCACATAGAATACAAACGGTGGCCGGGATTCTCTCGGGTAGTCTTTCTGGCGCCCTTGGCCTCAGCCTCCTGCCTGCCTGCCTGCCTCGCACTGCTGGACAGCAAGGGTCAGGGAACCAAAGTGCACCTGGAGACTGGACAGAGCCATTGGGAGCCCCGGGAAGAGTGGCAGTACTGTGCTTCCTGGCCGTGCCAGCAGTGGGCTTGCATGGCCAGTGTGTGGCCCCGTGATAGTTGTGGGTCATTTTCACTGGCTTCTCTGTGTCCTTGCTGACAGGGCCACTGTAGTGGGGTCTGCATGTGGCATTTGGCTAACGTGTGCTCTTTTTTGCCAGCAGCAGCCATCATTCAGGTTGAAGACCAGAACACAGGTGCAATTGAGAACATTATAGTTGAAGTCAAAAAAGAGCCAGATGCCGAGCCCACAGAGGGCGAGGAGGAGGCCCCACCAGCTGCCACAGACGCCCCCAACGGAGACCTCACGCCTGAGATGATCCTCAGCATGATGGACCGGTGATGGTGGGGCGCCCTCCGCTCCAGGACTGCTCTGGGCTGTGTTTCAGCGGCTCACATCTTAATTCCTGTCCCTTTCTTCTTTTGGCTTTGGGAAAAAGCAACATTTTACACCATTTTACCAAACACACAGAACTAAAACTTCCAAGAATGATGTTAGGAAAATGTGATTTAAATAGGACTTTGTTTGGTGTTAGCAATCATGGAATGTTCTGAATCTCTGAGGGTTTACTGTGAAGTGCTTCGGACCGTGTGGAAGCCAGCCTCGCTTTCGCTTTCTTGAAGGAAATGAGACGGCTTGCCCTTTCGCAATACGGTAAACCACTCCAGAATGGCCACCCAGTCTCCCAGAGTTCTACGGTCTTCTTCCCAGCAGAGTTTTTAATTGTAAATGCAGACCTGGGAAGGACTTAGACTTTTAAACTTTTTGTTTTGTTTTGTTTTGCTTTTGCCTTTTCCTGACTCCCTTTGCGCGGAGTCGACTGCACACCAGTAGTATATGGCATGCTACGATCGGGTTCTGCCCAGAAAGCCTTGCCTTTCTGGGCAGAGGTTCTGGTATGGTCAAAGCTTGTAAATAACTTTTTTTACATTTTAATCTTTTCCATTAATTAAGAAGTGCAGTGTAAGAAACCCAGAAGTTTAATTACTTGCAAATTAAGTTCCCACAGACTCTGTAGTGTGTAAACAGAATTGGATTACAATCATGTAGCTGAACAGAACCCAGACTGCTGCCACGCCTGGAAGCTCACGCAAGACCGAGACGCCAGCACCCGGACCCGGACCGGACCTCGAACAATTAATTTTCAGTTCTGATTGTCCATCTCCATTTTCTTTGCTCTGTTTGTAGCCGAGTTTGTTTCCTGAACCCTCCGTTCAGGCAGCAGAGGGTGACTGAGTGGGTCACAGCCGCCCGGAACAAGCTGGGCCAGAACATTTTACTAGGTCAGAAATCTAAACTTTTTATCTTCAAAAAATAAAATATAATAATAATGTGAAAAAAGACCAACTAAAAAGTGATTCTTCTTGCACATGAACTGTCACACGTTTAAATGTGTTTTTTAGGACGCCTCTGTCTTTACTGATCTCCAACACCTTTTTCTTCTGTGTATTGCTTTAAGAGAGCCATCAGTTAGACTCTAGGTTGATGCATTTTGTACTTAGCTGTACTGTGTGATCTTTTTCATTATTTTAGGACGCCAACATGAAACCTGTAATGAATATGTAATGGGTTGAAAGCTGGGGAGGAGAATCTACTGCTGTACAGCTAATAAATCATAACGGATTAACAAGTGCTCCAAACGGGCCGTGTGGTGTGGTTCCTGCCTGGCGGGGGTCTGGGACCTCCCTGTGGGTGCAGCATCACGCTGCCCCAGGTGGGGCGGGCAGGCCTCCTGGCCCTTGGGAAGCAAAGCTGTGTTCCCGAGACTCCACTTCCTCTCCAGCAGATGGGAAGAGGCGATCTTGGCGGTGACAGGCTGTGGAGTGCATCTTGCTGTGAGTGTGACGCCCTGGAAGTGTAGCAGCGAGGTGAGTGGGTGGGCAGCAGTTGATGCCAGGTCCACCTGAGGAGCAGTCACAGTACCATAGACCTCCAGGGAGAGGGGACTTCCAGGCAGTTGGTCAACCCAGGAAAACCGAACGCACACAGGGCCTTCTGGGAGCTCAGGGTTCTGAGTCAGTGGCCTTAGGCAGTCACAGCTTGAGGCTGGGCTAATCCCCAGCGAGGCCAGTGTATCTTCCCAGAATTGTTTCAGTGCGCAAAGCCCCTCTCCCTTCTGCATGCTCCATCCAGAGCAGTCTGTACGGAACTGTGTCGCCAGTATACTACTTTCTCCTTTCTGATTGCACCTTTTCCCTGGAGTTTGAAAATGATTTGGTTGGTTTTGGGGGGTGAGCGAGGGGAGTCAAGCTTGGATTGATTCAAGCCCAAAGGGGTTGCCCATTGCACAGCCCAAATGAAATGGCCATTCAAGTGAAAACCAGCAGCAGAAGCCAGTTTGCCCCACTACCTCTGCTAGGTGCCAACAAATCAGTCCACTCACGGTGACCCTGTGTGACATGGAATTGCCCCGTTTGGGTCATTGAGCAGAACAGTACAAACGGTCAAGTCGCTGATGACCAGCTGGTGGGTGCTAACCACCAGCCTTTTTGTCTGCAGCCAGAACTGACCCATCGCACCACTAGGACCCTCTGTTTGCCGACTCTGCACAGAACCTTGTAGGAATGTCCCTTGCCCGTCCGGCAGTGCCCTCAGTGTTCTGGCCATCACTGACTTCCTTTCCGCACCTGGACTGATGCCACCACTGTTCACTGCAACCCAGTTCATCCTGGCTCCTGAGCCTGGCCATTTCCACAATGACAGCATGTCCATTCAGCAACAGTGGTTAAATTCTTCAGGTTGATGTTGTAGTTGGAGAAACTATAGGAGATGGACATTTTTTTTCAATTTTATTAGGGGCTCATACAACTCATCACAATCCATACATACATCAGTTGTGTTAAGCGCATTTGTACATTCATTGCCCTCATCGTTCTCAAAAAAAAACATTTCCTCTCCACTTAAGCCCCCGGCATCAGATCCTCATTTTCCCCCTCCCTCCCTGCTGCCCCCTCCCTCATGAACCCTTGATAATTTATATATTATTATTTTAACATATCTTGCCCTGTCCAACATCTCCCTTCACCCACTTTTCTATTGTCCGTCCCCCAGGGAGGGAGTCACATATAGATCCTTGTAATCTGTTCCCTCTTTCCAACCCACTTTCCCTCTACCCTCCCAGTATCACCACTCACACCACTGGTCCTGTAGGGATCATCAGCCCTGGATTCCCTGTGTTTCCAGTTCCTATCTGTACCAGTGTACATCCTCTGGTCTAGCCAGACTTGCAAGGTAGAATTCGGATCATAATAGTGGAGGTGGGGAGGAAGCATTTAGGAACTAGAGGAAAGTTGTATTTTTCGTCGTTGCTACATCGCACCCTGACTGGCTCGTCTCCTCCCCAAGACCCCTCTGCAAGGCGATCTCCAGTGGCCTACTAATGGGCTTTGGGTCTCCACTCCGCACTCCCTCCATCATTCACTATGCTAAGATTTTTTGTTCTGATGTTGCCTATATCTGTCCTTTCGACACCTTGTGATTGCATAGGCTGGTGCTGCTTATTCCATGTGGGTTTTGTTGCTTCTGAGCTTGATGGCAGCTTGTTTACCTTCAAGCCTTTAAGACCCCAGATGCTATACTTTTTGATAGCCGGGCACCATCAGCTAGATGGACATTTCTTAAGCCAAAGAAGACGAACAAAACATTTGGCCTTTGCCCAATCTTCACAGCGTCAATTTGGTGGCATTAAGCCCATCTTGTTCCCCATTAATCATTCCCAATTTGTCTTGGCACCCAGACGATCCATTCCATCAGAGGTATCCTGAGCTCCCTCCTAGTGCTCGAGCTGCAGAACACAGGAACTCCAACAGGCCTTTGTCACTGGCTCCTGCTTGCCTGTTGAACCGAGTCCAACTATTCACTGGCCTTTGATAACCACCTGTCATGTGTGCCACAACTATACTGACCGGCTGCTGCCAGCAGTTGGAGGAGAGATCGGGCTGCATTTGCTCCTTGGCAGACACTGTCCACAACAGTGCTGGGCACCCACTGAACAGCCAGTGTGGCTGCGGGCATTACCTTTTGCACTTGACTCGTGTCATTCTAAGTGGAAAAAGGTCCTCACACTGTTTTGCTGTTCTGTTTTAGGGCATCGAGGCTGCATATACTCAGCCGGTGTGGCTGTGCACCAGTGAGCATTTGACAAGCAGTTAGCCCTTACAACCCCGAGGTCAGTTACTAGCTCCTGCTGACAGAAAAGGAATCAGCAGCCCAGAGAGGTTAAGTAAGTTGTTCTATGTAAAACAGCTGGTGAGAGGTGATTTAACCTTTGGCAGAGTACATTCGGCAGGTGAGTTACTGGCCATTTGTTAAGTTGGATGAGACCTGCTAACTCCTCACCCTGCAAGCAGCCTGGATTCCGTGTGGTCTTCAATCTCAATTGCTTCAAACAAGGAGACGGCAGGGCCACCTCTGGCCTTTGTTCTCAGCATCTCCCTCCCCTGACATACCTTCGCTAACACACCATGGTCCTGTTGCTGGAATAGAGGACACATGCCCCCCACCTTGCTACCCTCCATTTGTGCTTTCCACTTGACCCTAACTGTGGCAGTCAGTGAATGGAATGGCAGGTGAGGGGGGTTAGCAGGGAGAAGGTAGAGGTCGGCTGGCTTGTCGAAGCTTTTGCTCTTGCTGTCTCTAATCCTCAAGGCAGGAAAGGGTGGCAAGAGGGGGAGAAGCAAGCAAAGGCCCCCTGGCCTGTTGTACCTGCTGCTGCCTGGCTCACAGGGCACAAGATGGCACTGGAGAGTGACTGGATTGTAAGGGAAGGAAAGCCATTCAATCCCTTCCTGAGAGATCTCCTCACATGGTAGCCTGTGGCTGGCAGAGGGCATGAGGCAGATGGTTAAGCTAAGCAAAATGGTGAGTGGTTTACACCCAACCAGAGGCACGGGGGACAAAAGGCCTTGGCAGTCAGGTCACGGAAGCCCTAGGGCGTCACAAGGAGTCAGACTCAACTAGAGAGCCACAGGTTTTAGATGGACCTCTCACCCATGACCTCTGACCCCTCCCTGCCCTGGAAACCTCACTTTTCTGATGGTTCCTCCTACCTTTCCCCCCAGCTTTTCAGGCAGCTAGCTTTTGCTCCTGAAGCCCTCTCTGAGCCCCTTGGGGTTCAGGCCTCAGGTGGGGGCTTCTGAGGGTCATTGCTACACCAAACGCTGCAGACCCAGCACTTTTGGGAGATCCGTGCGTCTCTGGCCCCAACCTACCAGTTTTAAGATCCGTGTTAAGAATGCCAGCCCTGCTCGATGGCTCCTGCGGTTTGGAGGCCTGGGTTCGCCTCTCT